AAGGAGTTTAAATCAAGTTACCATACTGGGTAGACAGAGTAATAGATATGGTTTCCTCCCATATAGCAACCCCCCCCCATATAGCAACTAAGATGTAAGTTCCTTGACAGCAACCCAGTTGAGGTGGAGTATCCCAAGAGTGCCTTGCTTGCACACAGGAGCTTCGCCAGGTTGAGTGCAGCTTGCGCATTTCACGCGTCCATGTCGGATATCATTTTCTGATGGCCATGGAACAACAAAGTTCAGGGTCTAGGGTATAGGGTTTAGGGTACTATGCATGAATACTGGGACAGAAAATTGAGGTGATCTTCCTAAACAAAGGACTTTGGATGCAGGAAGTCTTGCACCACCTTGCAGCTCAGATTTGTCCTACAAATCACAACATTATTATGGGGGGGTGTTAAGCTGTGCAAGGTGTCCTCCATCTACCGTACTGTAGCTTGTGCATTGTCCTCATCAAACCCTAGACCCTCTAAGCCCTAAACCCCTAAACCCTAATGCATAAACCCTAAACCCTGCCGTCTGAACCAGCAGAGGTGCCTTCCGGGAGCCTGCTCACGGCAACTTCGGCTTGAAGCAAATTGTCAGCTCCCATATTTAGGTAAGGCTGCTACGGTTTAGAGTACTTCGGGCAAGCCGCCAAAACACAAAGAAATTCAACATATATGTGTATGTATATACACATGAACAACCATAATTGCTTGTATGCATGCGCAATCAGGCTGGAAAATGCTTTTTACATTCACTGCTTCCAACCCTTTTTTCGCAGCCCAAGAAGAATCAAAGGAGGCGCCCGAGGCAAGCTTGATTTGATAGGCAGGTTTTTCAGAGAATTCTACAGTCTTCAGGTTTAGGATTGTTAGGGTTTCGGGTTTCTACAGAGTTCAGGTTGTTCAAGACACGCATCGCTGGACTTGTTGGGTTAGCTCAGCGCTGCAGGAGTCCTGATCGCTCTGGTGTCTGCTTCGGCGCCTGGCCGTAGTCATGTAGGGGTATATAGGGTCACCCAGATGATGGATAACCAGCTGGAAAAGAAGATGGAAAACGATATGGAAGGATCCACCCATAGTGGCAAAGCTCAGGCAAGGGCATCGTGAATGGATTTGGCCAGCTGCATCCACGAACGCAGGGCATTCGAACCTTAGGCTACCCGGCAGAGTTGAGATTATAGAGGGGTGTTTTAGAGATTATATAGGGATAACGGAAAATAAAATGGAAACTACAGGGACTATAGGGTTTATATAGGGATTAAGTAGGGATTATACAGGGATTCTATAGGGGTTTCCCAAATTGAGGGTACCATTTTAAATGTCCCTATAAGAAGGATCATAGTGTTCTGGGGTCTATATTGGAGTCCCATTATTTAGTTGAACTACCATCATGTAGGGTTTGGGGGGGAAATCTCTTGAGCTTGGACCGCTGTTGCAAGCTCTGCATGTTACTTTGCAAAGCAGTTGTTTGCGACACGAAGCAGGTCAATCATACCAGAGCTTTGGCTTGCAACTGATACGCTAAGTTGGAGTTGCTTGAGGTACCATCTACTCCTCATCGCTGTTTCCGATGCTCGGCTATTCTATTGTTGCGGGGCAATAACCCTGGTTTTCATGGGACACAGAGCAGGACGACGCAGGGCCATGTTGCATGTCTTCACGCTTGCCTTGATCTTGGAATTCTGCTCGCAGCCGGAGTAGCTGGAAGTTGTCCCCCCCAACTCCAGAAGCATGAAGTCAGTAAGTGATGGCCTGTACACTTTCCCGCTGACCATGTGGCGGATGCCCACTTCGACTTCAGGAATCGCATGCCAGACGATGACAAGATCATGCTGCTCCACTACATAGGCGCAATCTGAAGCTGCTGTCGGAGCAGATTCAGACTTCAGAAGTAATTTCCTGAGGTGGTCCATTCATTCATGATGTCCCTCAAGACTGATATCATGTTATGGAGGTTCCAAGGTCCATTTGAAGCCTTTATGCCGCGAGAGCGCAATTTCCATGCCATGCAGCTGATGCAGAAGAAGATCTGCCAGCACCCGGGAGGGCGAATGACTTTTCCCAATCTTGATTCTCCATTATTCCCTAGTCCCTATAGAATCCCACATGCCCATATATAAGCTTGATCCTCCTGCTCCTTTGGCAGAGGAATCGTCTCAGAAGTGTATGAAGGAAATCTCATTTGTTTTGGTGCGTCTTTCAAACATCTGATGCCACAATTGTTATTGCTAATTCAAAGGGCCAATTCTTCCGTGCAAGTACTCCAACCTCCTCCCAGAAAGCCAATACGCCTCAAGGAACTACAAAGGTTTGGGGACGATTGTTTCATCGAGGGGTATTCTCTGAACCCAAAGCTCCTGAACCTCGACTCTTATGTGAGCCATAGTCTAAACT